CGCGCTCTCTGCTCTGTGGACAGAGCTTTCATGTCCTGATTCAGTTTGAAAGGTGGCATTCAAAGACCTGTTAGGCTCTGGGGCTTGAGTGAACTTTTTTCTTCAAGTGCAGAGACGACGCGCATGTTTGAGCACGGTTCAACCCCTCCCCCATCAGTCACTCCATCGCGCGCTCCCAGAGACCCAAAGGCCTCGCAGAGGAGGACAACGTGATGGGTCCCTCAGAGATCGCCAGGAACCCAGTGGCAACCTGCGCTCTCGCTGCGAAAGAAGCTGGGGGTGTGGAGCCGTTGTCTTCTCCTGTGACACGACCCTTAAGGCCTTAGGGATGGAGGTGACAATAACTGGCATTTAACAAGCCTATGGGCAAGAGGGTGGTTTGTAGCCTTAGGGAGTCCGAGCCAGGAGAGCAGAAGAAACCTCTAGTTTGAGGCTTCCTCCCCGTTCCCTCCGGCTTTTCCCGGGACCGTCGGGTTCCGCGTTCAGGAGGACCCGGAACCTGGACAGCCGTGCGCACGTGAACGATTAGCCGGCCTCTACCAAGGGTGTTCCCTCTTTCTGGGGAAATAAAGCCTAGATTGGAACCTTCTGCCCGGCTTCCTCACTGGGCCGTCTGGTCTGAATTAGTGTTTTTATAAGGGACTCAAACAAATCGAATACAAGGTCACCAAATAATTAACAGTTGCGAATTCCCTTCGTCCCCATTAAAATACTTCCCTGCTTATATTTCATTTTCCGTTTGCCAACGACAACAGGGTCCGGGCAAAAGCGCCGCTCCGTTGATTACATTACTCTGTGGCCCAGTTCTACCCAGAACCCCATCACTCTACAGAAACATGATGTACTTCAATCGCAAGGGAACTCTGCAAGTACTCCAGTGCCCGGCGCGGTCCAGCCCTGCCCTGACCAGGAAGACCCAGACCGTAAGGGGAAACCCAGAAAATGATCAGCAGTCAACTCTCCAGAGAGCCTTTTCCAGGGTGTCAAGTTCCTCAAGGATGCTCCGATCTCGGGGTTTTTTGTGGTTTTGTTGTTGTTGTTTGTTTGTTTGTTTGTTTTTTGTTTTTATCTCTTCCTTACTGGCTCCTTCCTGGGAAGCTGTTGTAATAACAACACAGTTTAAAGTGCATTCTCATTTCCAAATCATCCAGAAACCGAGCCCACAGCAAATTCTTAGACTCCTTGTGCCACCTTCTTCCTCCGGAGCTTGTCCTTCCATGGGGCTTCTCCCAAATGACAGACCCTACAGGTCTGAGTGCTGCCTCATTTTCTGGCCTTCCTCCATCCCTCGCCTCCATTCCTCAGCCACGCTGCATTCACAGAGCTTCTGAGTGTCCCCCTTTCCCAAATCCTAGAGCTTTTAGTGAATGATTCCATGAACTGACTATGTCTTCAGAATATCTAACCCAGTTCACTCAAATCTTATGATTTGACCAACCCACACTTCCCCCTCTTTATGGTTCTTGAGTTACTTTTAAAGCACGATATGATGACATTTTAAAGGATCAAGGGTAAGGGAGTTGGTGCCTCTGCTAAAGTAAGTACAGGAAGAAGCCTGCACCGCACAAATTCTGATCCTTCAATTCAAAGTTCCATGAAAATTCCTAAGTACATTTTAAGAGACTACAGAAGAATATTAGGCCATGAAGAAAATCTCTCTCTTTTTTCTTCTTGCCACCTTAGAAACCTCATCCTATGCATATTGTGCACTGGGTTAACACCAGGGTCTAGAATATTCTGTGAACTTTACCTCTCACTGTAGCTGTGTAACCTGGCAACTCACTCCAACCCTGTCTTCCTAATTCACATGCAAAATGGGGGTAGTTGCAGCACTTTCCCTGGGAAATGGCTGTAAGAATTAAATGAGATAGTTCATGTAATCGATTTTAGCACAGTACTTGGCCCACAGTAAGAATTTAATAAATCTTGGTTAATATCATTAACTCTAAATGTTCAAAGAGTAAACGGAAATGGAAGGATTCTCTTTTAACTCGAAATGAGATCACCCCTTGGAGGGTTGGGAGAGGTGGCAAGGAGTGAGATAGTGAAGAACTTTCTGTCTTCCTCCACTCTGGGTAGAGTATCTGTACCCTATCACTCCAAAGCCCTGCTTCAGGAACAATTAACTCTCGGCTTCTCAGGTGAGGAAGGCTTTGCAAATACTACTAGTGAGTCACCCCTAGTCTGGCTTGGGGGATCCTTCTCTTTTCTTCGCTCCTCCCCTTAGAGCCATCCTAGCTCCTAGGCACCAAGTTCTCCACACTCATCAGCGATTTAAACATCCTGGGGCAAGGCTCCAAGTTAGCACGCCTGGCCCCTGCTCTGCACTCCTGGCCCAGCCATCCCGAGATGGGGGAGGGGACGTTGAGAGTTTGGCGCGTGAAGAACCCCCACGTGAGCGGGGCGGAAGTCCTTGCCAGGCGCTGGGGATGCGCAGCTAGCGGGTCCCTTCCATCACGGGAGACTAGACAGCGTTTGATGTGTTATGACATGAACCCTCAATTAGATCGCTGAGTTGAAACACTCCAATCAGGGGCCCGATGCTAAGCAAGCCCCGGAAGGTCCAGCCCGAGGTCACCGCCGGTGACACATCAAATCAAAATCAGTGAGAGGGAAAGTGAGGCTTTCCCTTTATCAAGCTGGGGCTGCAGCCAGCAACGCACCCCCCTCCTCGCCCCTCCCGCGGGTGGCTCCCCACTCCTTCAGCCCTCAAGCCAGGGCCGCCAGCAGCACCAGCCGCCTAGCTGCCTTTCTCCGCGTTTTTCTGGGAACCTGGGGGGCGTGGAGAGAAACAAGGCTTTGAAGCTGCAGTCCAGGTTATCAGGCAGCGTCTCCTCAGTCTGTGGACCGCCAGCAGCCCCAGCCCTCGACGGCGCTCTAAGGTTGAAGCCGGACGTCTGGATCTCGGTCCGGCTGGCCTAGAGACCTTGGCTCGGGAACAGAGGGCCCCGCAGCCCGGGCGTGCAGCCAATCCCTCCGCTACCTCCGGCGCCCTGGGACTGCAGCGCGGTGCCCGGGGATGCGGAGGGGGGCGTGCTGGGGCAGCCTAAGGTGACGTGAGCCACATCTATGTGCGACCTGGTTGGGGCCCTCAAAGACATCGCTCTCCTTCCTTGAATTCCGAGGGCCTCCACGACATCTTGGAGTAGCCTGCAGTCCCTTGGTCCAGTGCCAAATTCACGGGGCTTGGCGAACGAGTTAAGGGTGCCTGGGGGTGGGGGAGAGGACGTGATTCTTGCCACTTCCTGGGGAAAGAAAATGAGTGTCCACTGCCTGCCAGCCTAGACCTCCAGAACTCATCCCTGGGGAAAAACCCCTGAGCAGTTTCCTCTGGGCTTCCTGAGGCTCCCCTTTGGTGAAGGCAGAAGAAAAGGCACAGGGCCAGTGGAGGACTTTAAAGAGGGGAGACAGTCCGAAGGGGTGCTAGCCCCAGGCGAGGATACAGTTGCAGCACTAAGAAGCTCTTGCGAAGATGACCTTACCAGTCCTAAAAACGTCATAAAATACCTGGCATTAATTTGCTGTCGGGACCTTTCAGCAGCTCATAACCCGCTGACCTCGAGCTACTGTGGCATGTTGAGCTTGGGCAGGACCTTGGCTGGGAAGGAGGAAGCCAGGGAGAGGCGCTAGGGACCAAAGACCTGCCAGGGTCTCTGAAATGCTCGGAGCAGGCCAGGCACTCAAGGCAGCCTCCTCTACAGGAACCCAGCACTGTCAGGTTCCTGGCAAATCCCCACTTTCACTGACCTGGAAGTGTGAGATCGGGAATCATCAGAGCAGAGGAGCTGGGTCTGGGGAGGATGGAGACCAGCTAGCTGCCTCTCTTTGATCTCCCTCCTTTCTTCCCAACGCGATCATCCTTCCTTTCTCTTTTCTTCCCCTCCCATCCCTCTCTTTCTGCTTTGTTCGACATCACTGCCTGTCTTTTCTCCTCTTTAGGAACCCTTTCCCCAACTTCTGAGGCCAGAGGGAAGTGGAGGGGGCGAGGTTTCTCGAGGTCACCGGCCATGCCGCAGACTTGTGGAGGTGGCAGGACCGGGAGTCTGGGTTTGTGCAGAGAGTCGCACGTGCACCCGCCTGGGCAGAGGAGAGCGAAGGGTGGGTCGCTGTGCAGAAAGCATCAAGGCCGATGGATGGATAGGCAAGCATACGCATGTACCCACGCGCAAGAAGTACCAAAGCAAAGATCTAGCTGTCCCTGCCCCGACCCACCACACTAGTTGCCGCCAGCCTGAGGAAAAGGGACTCCGTTTGTGTTTTCTGAGACACCAACTGTGTGGTGTTGGAAGAAAAAAACCAGAGTGCTCGAGGCGCCCACGGGGGCTGACAATGTGCACGCCCGTTACAGGCACGCGCGGTGCTGCCTGACGCTGCTGGCAGCTTGGGCCATGGGCAGCGCCCCTCGAACTTGGTCAGAAGAGACACGAGCCCCGGGCTGCCCGGAGCACACTCACTCGCGGCGGCCAGCCGGCTCGCCCTGCTGGCTCAGGCCTTGGACTGCGCACCCCGCGCAAATCAGGAGCTCAGACACCGGCTGCATCAGTCCTCGCTCTGAACGTCCTGCACCTCTGGCTGTGGACCTGCCACTTCTCCACGCTGTGCTTCCTCCACTAGCTAGGACACCCGCGGCCACCACTGCAAAGGCCAGGGAGCGCGTAAGGGAAGGAAGGAGGGAAGGAAGAAAGGGAGGGAAGGAAGGTAGAAGGGAGGGAGGGAAGGAGGGAGGGAGGGAGAGAGGAAGGAAGGAAGGAAGGAAGGAAGGAAGGAAGGAAGGAAGGAAGGAAGGAAGGAGAGAAGGGAAAAGTAGACTTGCAGACTGGTGCAACATCTGCAGCCGACCTCAGAACCTTACTGGGACTTGAGAAAAAGTTTGAGAGAAGTAAAAAGGGCGAGGTGTACAGGATGGAAAGGGAATCCATCGCCGCAGCCTCCCGCCAGGAGAGGAGCCACGCTCGCCTGCGGCGCTCCGGCCCGAGGAGGAGGTAGATGGTGCCACTCACCGAGTCCCCTGTCCACAAAGCTCGTGATTGTGTTCGCCGACTTGGAAGACTGGAAGAAGCTGGCGTTGATGCCCAGCCTCTCGGCGATGGAGTAGGTCCTGTAGATGGACAGCATGTATTCGTGCGGCACCACGCGTGGACCCCGGCCCGGCGGCTCCGGAGCCCGGGGATCGTCCTGCGGCCGCCCGGGCTGGGGCTCCTGACGCTCCTGGGACGCCTGGCCCGCCGCGCTCTCTCGCGGCGCCCGCGCCACCCTCCCTTCCTTGCGGCTCCTCGCGCTTCTGCTGGAACCCAGCTCCGCGGACGAGGAGGAGATAGAAGCCTGCTGGAAACCGGGCAAATCCCACAGGAAACCGATGAGGAAGACGGCCGAGAGCAGCACCCGGGGAGTATCCATGGCGCTCGAGGCGGCCGCACCGGGCGCCAGGGGTGTGGAGCGGCTGGACAGCGGCCGGGGCCCGGCTCCTCGCGCGGACTCCAAGTGCGAGGAGCCGGGTCCCAGCCACACAAACCCTGGGCTGCCACGCCCCCTCCCGCCCCTCGCCGGGAGGGGAGGGGAGGGGAGGGAGGGAGGTGGGAGGGGAGGCCGGGCGGTGCGGGCCGGAGGTGTGGGAGAGGGGCTGCGGGGTGACCGAGTGGCCGGAGACGCAGCGCCCCCGCGGGACGCGCGCGGGGTTGCGGGACCGGGAGTGCAGCGCGGACACAAGCTCCGGTCCGAGACGTCCCCGCGGCCAGGGAGCAGGGCCTCGCCCGTTGCGCCGGAGTCCGGGAGCCGCACTCTGGAGGAGCGAACCCTGCCCCGCGCCGCCCTGGCTCTGGTCTCCGCCAGCCCTGCACTTGGCTGGGAGCGAGCTTCCCGGGACCAGGGAGTGGCGGCGCCCCCCAAAGACCGCTTGGTTTGGAGCCTCAGCCGGGTTCCCGGCGATGGCATCTTCTCTGCTCCTCCCCAACCGTCAGGTCGGCAGTTTGTGCCCCTCGGGGCCAGGCCAGAGCCCTGGAAGCCTCGCCCGGGGCCAGCTCTGTCCAACCCCGCGCTCTCTGTGGGGTACCGCGCTCCACAAAGACCGGCCCTCTTCCCGACCCTCGAGGTCAGGCAGAGGCCACGCGTCTCTGGAGTCTGGAGCGGTACTAAGAGCCGCTGCGCGCCCCTGCAGGCCCCAGCTTCTTGTCCCAAGGTCCCCAACCTCGTCTGACACCAGCTCCGGCCACCGCTCTTCTTTGCCTGCTCGCGGGCTCCTCTGGCCTCTCGAGCCTGCCCCCGCCTCCACCGCAGCTCCATTCCCCCGCTCTCCCTTCCCTCCGGGCTTCAAGGGTTCCTTCTTCCTCCAGTTCCTCCCGCATTCCAAGCACTTCCACAGCTGCTCTTCCTCGCGCGCTGCCTCGCGTCTCCCTCTGCTCCCCACCCTCTTCTTCCCCCTCCAGCGGACCCCTCCCTCCCTTTGCAGCTCTACCCTAATCTGTTTCTCTTCAGTCCAGCCTCGCCCCACCACGAGTTTCTTTTATCTGTCCCAAGATTCAGTGTCTGTCTTCTCCGCCCACTGCCTGGCTCATTTTGGGGGCCTGAACGCCGGAAGATGATGCGTCGCGGCAGAGGCTGTCTTGTCGCATTGCTATAGACTGCAGAGTTCCCCTGCGCGGTTTATGAGGACGAAAGCACCAGCCGTACATGTCCTCCTTTAATCGTCGCAATGCTGGGAGGTTGGCCCGACTATATTCACTTTGATGGATAAAAAGAAATCATATCCAAAGAGATAACGTGACTTTTCCAAGGTCACTCTGCCAAGAAGCAGGGAGCCAGGGACAGCACTGGCCGGCCTGAGCCTAGGGTTGTTCCAGCCCAGCAGTTAGCCCGCACCAACAGGTCCATCTCATTTTTTGCTTCCCCACCTTCTCCTTAGGGCTTCAGTCAGTCTCAGGTGATTCCCCCAACCCCAAGGAACTTCTAGTGTGTTCTGTCTTCCTCTCCCTTCCCCCCCTTCTTCTATTGGCTTTTCCACCTTTTCTCCCCTCCCTGCAGGAACAGTCTGCAGAGCACTTTCGTTTTCTACTTCTGTCACCCTCCAGGTTCCCTAAGGTCTGGACCCTGGCCTCCCCCAGGTGATGACAGACACCCACAAAGAACAACATGCTTCTGAGATTTACAGAGTTTGTTTCATTTAATCTGCAGGACATTCCTGACTAAGCGCTATATTGTCCCTGTGTTACAGGGAGGGAAACTGAGGCTGGAGGTCACACTGCTCTGGACTTTGTGCTCTCAAGCCCTGGGTTGTGGCCTCTATCCCCTGGACATTTTCAAGGGTGCTTCTGTCTCTTTCCCAATCCCTACTTGGAGCTCTAGTTTTAGTTTCTTAAGTACTAAGTTCTGTCTAAGATTGGCAAGTGTTTTCCTTACATTTTCTTCCTCTCTGGCCTTTAGAGTTTTTTAAGTTATCGTTTAACAGGTTAACATCATAAAAGAAAGGGGAGCTGAAATAAAAATTCTTTCACAAATTTCACTGCTGCAGCAAATTTGGGCCTTTATGGGTTCCTTCTCCTCCTCTTTGTATATGTCTTTCTCATCTTATTCCCTCCCAAAGCTAGATGTCACATTGGGTTTTTCCTCTGTCATTTAATATTTGACTACCAAGGCCATGGCTTTCAGCACCTCTTCCTTGTCCCTCTGGCCTCTCTGCTGCTCTGTGCTCCTCCCCTTTCCTTCTCTCGGCCTGTGAAGGCCTCCTCTGCAAACCACAGTCGCTGCTCCTGCCCTTCCCTGCTGCCCACCTGCCAGCCCTAGGATGCACTCGGTCTTGTCTGGCCTGCGCCCACAGCTTGCACTGCACATCCGCCTCTCCAGTACCATCCAGGAGAGGCTTCCTCTTTGTGGTTGGTCTCCATCCCTTGCCTCCGGGAAGTGAACACTTGTGGTTGTCTTATCAGCATTTTAATTTCTATCAGTACGGTATCTGGTTAATGATGATTCATGGGCTTGGACCCTCTGTCCACAAGTATAGTTCCTGCCTGCAAGAGCAGCCTGGTCTGTTCTCTCTTCACTTTGCCCAGAGCAATCATTATCTGCTACAAGTTATCAGTAAACAGGAAACAAAGTAATGAACTTTCTGTGCTGTGGCTTCAGATCTCCAGAATTCTATATAGAGTCCTGCGGGACCACAGGCAACACTGGGACAAGGACCATGGAGGGGGTGGACTGCTGTCCCTTGGGATTGCCCTCGGATAGGTATTGCTCTCCTTTGCTGCTCCCAGCCCCACATCTATGCAAGGAAATTCTCTCCCAAAAGGGCCCTTGTGATTGTGTTGTAGGTAAAAATCTATGTGGGTTCCCCAGATCACAAGCTAATTAGAACTGTAACCATGAAAAGGGGTCAAGACCTCCTGGCTCCTACCCCTATATTTAAAGAATCATATTTAAATATCATGATGATGATGCACAGCAGCGTGTGAAGCCTGATCATTTCATCCCTGGGCAGTGTGTTTCAAATAGAAATCCACTCCAACATTAACAAGTCACACTAAGGTCTCTCTGTCTGTCTCTGGCTCTGTCCTTCTCTGTTTCTGTGTATGTATTTCTGCTTGGGTTGCTAAAAATAAAGATATAAAGAGCAAACTCCAAGTCAAATCTGCCTTTAGATGTTCATACTATATTCTGCATCTTTGAACACCGCTATGAAATTCAGCTTCCAGGCTAGTCACAGATTCTGCAGTTACTTAGTCCGCAGTTTCTCCTATGGAGAACATTTTAAAAGTGTGAAAGTTTCCTTGAGATGAGTGGACAAGAGCTGGTGGGGGCACCTTGCGCAGCTTGACTGAAGCGGTCTTCTCAGGGTTAGATGCTCCCCAAAGGATGACCAGACAGCCGTGGGCCCTGTGGTGTCTCCTGCCCCCCTGTGGAGGCTGTGGGAATTACCACGGAGGAGGAAAGCTTACTGAGGCATTTCAGGGGAGACAGTGACCTCGGTCAACACAATGTTAGGAAATTAGTGTGTGGTTAGCATATGGCAAGAAAACAACCACAAATCAGGGGTCTCTCGGCCCAGAGACAGGAGCAAAAGGGATAAAATTGCATGGTGCTATCTTAAATCTGTCCTGTTAATGTTTTCAGATTATCATTTCTATTAATCCAGGGAGAGAAGATTCTCTTAAATAAATTTTCACTTTTGTCATTGACTTGAAAGGCAACTTTATAAAAGTGGCAGAGGATACTGGGCTTCAGCGTGAGCCCCATCCACGCACGAAGAAACCATAATAGGACTCGAAGTACGAACAGAAAATCCTAGGAAGAAGACAGGCAGTGCCTGGGGTTTTTCACAAGGGGCATCATTTCTTTCATGTAGGTGTGGCTTCCATAAAAATCTGTCAAAATATAAACATTATCTAGTAAGATTCTAATTCTTATTTCACTACTACTGTTTTTACTATTAATATGCCATCCTGAATAAATGGATAAACTGCTAGTCTGCTAAGATCAACTGGTTGTCATCTCAGTGATTCACAGAAATAATTTTTTTTTTCTCAGAAATAAAATTTAAGGCATAGATTTGGAGGCAAAGGTGCAGCTTTCAGATGGCCCAGGCTTAGAATGCACTAGTCTTGGGGTTCAATCCCTAGCACCAAAACGAAACAAAGCCAAACAAACAGAAATTCTGGTAAATTTTGATTAAAAGAAAGTAATGACAAAAAAGAATAAAGGTTTTTTAAAGTGTGTGTGTGTGTGTGTGTGTGTGTGTGTGTGTGTATTCAGAGTTTCCATTGAGAGGAATAAGAAAGAAATAACAGGTGCTACAACTTTACCCTAGAGTCCTGCTTATATCTGTTGACATTTTCATATTTCATCCATAGAGAAGTCCTCCCAAAAAAGGAGCAAATGAACCAGGTAGTGATGCACGATTGTAATCCTAGTACTCTAGAGGCTGAAACAGAACGATTACCAGGAGTTGGAGGCCAGCCTGGGCTGCATAGTAAGTTCAAGCTCTGCCTGACCTATATAGCAAGGCCTTGTCTCAAACACCCCACCTCCCATGGGAAGAAATGAAAGCTATTAGCTTAGAGCAGAGATGCGTCCCTCAAAGGTGGTCGAGGGTGAAAATCGAGTGGAGTCTTGAACAGTAGGAGCAAAGGTGAGGACTGTTGGCTCTAAGGAAGTGGGGGAGGGGCCCTGAGAAGGGACACCTAAGGCAAAATGTTTCCTTCACAACTCGAACTGAGGTGTCAGCTTCATTAATTCTCTCTGCTCTACCCAATTTGAGTCGGGTTTTCCCTTTCTTTTGTTTATTTCATTGTGTCTCTAGTGGAAGGATTTTGTAGAGAAGTCAAGTGACATGGAATGAAGAGTTGGGTTCAGTGGCACAATACCCACGTGCTCTCTGAGCCTCCGTGTCCCCCTGTATCGGTGGAATGGGA